TATTTATTGTGATATTTTGTGGGGGCTAACAAAACTGTTAATATGCTACTTTTTCTTCTTAAAATGCCTTGACAAGACTTAATCCAAAGAACTAAGACTTAAAGTGCTTAGAACTGTTATTTCTTCTTGTAGTCTGCACTGAAATGAAGCAAAGGATCATGGTCTATGTAGCTCCTGCTGTCTTTTTTTTTTTTTTTTTTTTGTTATTGCTGCACCATAACTCTTAATTTAAGCAAAGAGTCTTGTAATTTGATATATTGTGATGGTTCACGATATTATTGAGAGAACTTTGACAATACGATGTCGCGATACTTCGGTTATTGTTACATCCCTACTGTAGACCAATTAAAAATGCGAATGCCTTTGAGATTGACCAACGTAGAGATCGGAATCTGTCAATCTACCGTTTTTTGGCACAGCTCTACCTTGATGGTGAAATTCCACTCTTGCCTCTTCTTGCCTCTGAAAGTAGTGAAAAGCTTATAAACTCGTTGCGTTGAATAATAAGGTTGTTCGGAATGCATAAGGTAAATGAGGAATAACTTTGAACCACTGAAAACTGTAATGAACTACTTCTGCTTTTCATGTTTTTAAGACTAAAATCTAGTTCAGTGCCTTTTAAGAGGACCACTCAGACCCTTCACTATTTAATGACTTACTAAGATCTTGCCTCAAACCATTTAAAACAAAGAGCTGCAGACATATTTGACTCCATCACCAGATTCAGTTGCAGGGATCATGTCCTCTCTCAGACGTCTAATTGACCATTTTAGTGCACCAAATGTCAAGAAATGTGAGGTTTTGTTCCCAGCGTTTTGTCTGAAAGGCTCCAGACAGAAATTCTAACCTTGAGCTCGGTTCATATGAAGCTGTATTGAATTTGTAATTACCATATTGACTATAAACTAGGGCAGGGCGACACGGTGATAAAAATTGATAACCTCTCCGTGGACATTTTACCTAGTGCTTCATGAAGACAAAAATAATTATTATAAGCACAAATTGCACACATTATGTACCATTTTGGCTAATAAATGGAACTCGTCCCAAAAATCCCACACTATTTTTTTCTTTAGTTTGTCTTGGCAGTTTCGAAGACGACATCATTCTAGTCAGAAATGAAACACCTGCTCTTTATTTAGACAGTTATTTTGAAACCATAAATATTCAAATGGTGTGATAAACTCAATAATTTAACATTTATAACTTTAGTATCTGATTAAAATGTCCCAAAATATTAAACTCCGAGCATGTCTCTATGTGCCGTCTGTCTGTGCGGTGCTCTGGCTCGGTGCGGAGCTCACAGTTGGGTGCCAGGTGGGTTTTGGATTCATATTTGAGTTTTGGATTTGGAGTGTGCTTGATATAAAATATTTGGAGAGTCTGTAGCAATGAGACTGTTCTGCTGTGCTGTCATTGTTAAAGTACCCATATTAGACTATTTTCTGATCTATGTTATAATCAAAAACATACCAGGAGTTGCTTTGTGTCATTCACATGTTTAACATAAATGCGTCTCTTCCACCTTTTGATGATGTGGTAATTTGTACGGATGTAACGATATCCAAATCTCACGGTACGATATTATCATGTTATGCATCTAACGGTACGATATTCATTGCGATATTTTGAAGAGGCCAATATAACTGTAGATGGGATGCTTTTTTGCTTTTACAATACCTTTTGGTGTGAATTATTTCCATCATAATCCCAAGAATTCAAGTAAAAAACATATTTCTTCATGTTGTCTGCACTGAAATGAATCATGGGATATGTAGTTCCCTATGTTTATAAGCTGTTGCTACTATAAAACCATGTATTTAAGCAAAGGATATTGTGATTTGAGATATTGTGAGACTTTTGGCAATATGGTATCACGATATTTCAGTTATTATTACATCCCTTGTAATTAGGGCTGGGTATCATTAAGAAGTTGCCGAAAACGATACATAGGCCTCGATACGATACGTTTTTTGATACAGTGCACTTTCGATTTAGTATGGTTCTATACGATATATTTCACATGAATTCAATACAGTTCAGTGAAAAAAGGGTAAATCATGGCTGTGATAATAAGTCTACTAAGTCCACTAAGTTTGTCCAAAGTTGATATGAAAAACAGTGAAAATGTCAACACAATTGTAGCTGTTACATTAAATAATTTAGTAAAATATACCTAAAATTACTCTTGACTCTTGACGATATACAGCAGTATCGATACAGCAGCCCATGATATCGATATTGTATCACCTAATTAAACGATAAGGTATATCAGTATTTCAGTATTTTTGCACAACCCTAGTGGTAATACAGGAAATGCTCCATTATGTTTTTAAACTCCATACAACTTCAGTAGAATCATTTGGATAATTTCAGCTCACCTCTACTGAATAAAAAGTAAAAGATGGCTGTTAACTTAAACTACCGCTTCATGACATCACAAGGTGGAATAGAGTATTTTGAGCTTTGGAGATGTAGACAGAATAATATACTTGAATATGCTTGAACTAAATTAAACAACTCCAGGTATGTTTTTGAGGAGGTAAAAGGATTATAACATGACTTAAAGCTCACAAGAGACTTTTAGTGTGATCTAGGGCCTTTAATTTCCTTGCTCTTCACCATAACAGTGCTGAATTGTTGCATATATTCAAATCTCATAACACTTCCAAAGTAATGACTGTATCATGAGTGATATGATACAGCCTAGCCATGCTCATTTGACTTTTACCCAGTAGGAGATTAAACGTTATCAGTGCCATATTGTATAAACAGCTTCCCTTGAGGTCAAAATAAGTTTACTGTGTACTCTCTGTTCTACAACTATTATGAAGCATTTACTGTCTGATAATCAGGAAGTGCTTTTTAGGATGCTAGTTGATGTTAAGGAAAACTTTGTCCTATTATCTTTAAAGTTATGTTAAGAGCTTTTAGATCCAGCTTGAATAATTAGGATGCTCTGAATGCAACCTGTTTAAATGTCTCATACTGAACAATTTTCTTATGTTATTTCTATGTTTCTCATTACAAACAGACCTGGAGTTGTGTTTAATTTCATTCACACTTGTTTATCACACAAGCCCTGCATGTTTAGACTACATTTTCACTAGAATCATTTGGATGATTTTAGCCCTGGAATTGCCCATCTTTACTGAACTAAAGGTAAATGTTTTTGAGGAAATAACATAATAAGGTATCATCATATAAAATCTTTTTAAAATATTCTGTTTTTCACATTTTTAAGATGGTAAAAACACAGAAATAATATGCCATTATGACCAAAATATAGCCAGTTGATAGTCAAACTTTTGCCCAGCCTTAATTTGAATAATAAGAGATTTTCAAATAAGAAGTGGGAAACCAATTTCGGGAGGATAGTACATTAATTTTGGCTTCTTCAGTCTTTTCACCACATCAACTCTATGCTGGTCCATTACTGTTATTTTCTACTTTATCAACCTCCTCAGATCGGAATAGTGATTGGTCATTCAGAAAATGCCTGAGGAACTGATTGCCGCACAGGTCCCAGGGGCTCGTCTCTGGTGAATGGTTTCCCCCTCTCCATCTCAACATCATTTTAAAAACCAGCCAATTATTTAAAAGCTATTGTTAATGGAGTCTCCTTGTTCTGCTCCTGTCCAGCTGCTCTGTCCTTGTGAACGTCCCCAGAGTACCAGACCGGAGATTGGTTTTGATGTGGAGCTCTGGTTATGGAGAAATTGATCTTATAAAATGAGCCAGTAATAATTACGTAAAGGTGTTTTTATAATTGAACTTCATGTTGCAAGCTCAGATTTCTTGACAAGCCCTGACTTATTAAAGTCTGGCCTCAAGCCATTTAAAACACAGTGCTGTGGGCATATTTGACTCCATCGTCCAATTCATTTGGTGATGTCCTTCCTCAGACTTCTAACTGACCATTTTAGTGTACTAAATGTCAAGAAATATGAGGTTCTTCTGTGCGATTTCTTAAGCTGTGTTTAGACTGGCACGTCCGGTTTACATGCATAATCTATGGACACACATCTAGGGTGCATCTTGAGCATTCAGGTCATGTCAACCAATCAGGGACTACTATCCAGTGACGTAGCGATGTCTTTATCCGGAAGAAGAAGAAGAAACCCGGGAGCCACAAACACCATAACAAGAAAAACTACACTGTGTCATTAGCCGATATATAATATATATATATACGCTGCAGCTGCCGAGCAGATTGCCTTCATGATGGGTTTTCTGTCATAAATACAGTAGAGCCACTCTCTCGACCAGGAAAACAAGGCACTCGCAGACCGCAGTGGACGTATGTCAAGTATTTTCCTCCAAAGTTTGTCCACAGCGCCCAAGATGTGTGTCGTTTGAGTTCAGATATGAACACGAATGACATGGCAAAGGCATGATTTTTTTTTTTCTAAGACATACCTCGAAAAACATGTATTGAGTAGGCTTGGGGTTGCCTCTCCTCCAATCTGACCTGTAATTTTACCTGGTAACGTCACATGTTTGTCTCCTTGCGGATTTGTAATATATTACACAAAATGGTGAGCTTTTAGCCATGTTGGAGTGTTATTACTTCCTCATGAATATACCTGGAGTTGTGTTTTGTTTCATTCACACGTTTGTGTAACTCTTTATTATTAGTCTGTCTATATAACACAGTGCAGCACTTCCTGTATTAACACATGACATCACAAGGTGGAACAGAGTGTGTTCTGTTTGAGAGAAGAACTCAGCCTAAATATGCAGGGTTTGTGTGTTAAACATGTGTGAATGAAACAAAACACAACTCCATTTCTGTTTGTAATGAGGAAACAACATTATAACATACTAGATCACAAAATGGCGTAATATACACCCATTCATGTAATTCTGTGCAACATTTATACTTCAGTACCTTAAATTTGGTTACCTGAGGAATTTGTTTGATGTTATGCACTTGCTACATATTTATTTTAATTATTTTGTCTTACATCTTGTTTTTTTGTGTGTTTTGCTGCTTTTAGGTGATTGCTGCTTTGATGCTCTGACCTTTGACTGAGCAGAGATGACGTTTTCTCTCGAGCTCTGGACTCTGATGGATTAGGAGGTGAGTGCTCATTATCAGAAAGTCCACTGCATACATTAGAGCATACAGGGTCCAATCTGTTATCACTACTATACTACAGGACTGTGTATAAGTGTACTGATAGTATTAGTACTAGTATAACGCTGATCCACTGATGTTACCTGTCACCATGACTTAGAATGTCTGTCGAGAATGTCTAAAATGTTTATTCAAGCTTTTGTTTTCAGTGGCAGTGGACATAGGCATATTTTTAGCTTTAACTGGTTAAACCGAATAGACAGCAAGTTTCTGGTGAAGGGTTAGGGTTAGACAAACCTGTGACACCACCAGGCCAAGTTACAGGTCATATCTGTGGAGAGGTAGCCCACTCAGAAATACTCTGAAAAGCATGCATCTGTAATTTGAGTCATAAAAACAATAATTCAATCAATGCAAGAAATAGATTATTTTAATGCCATGCTGTGGAACATTCTGGGCAAAGCTATAATATCTTCATGAGACAAATAAATGGCAGACCCTCCACCAGGAAAGTTACATATTCCACCTTTTACTTCAGAAGGGGCAGCTCAAATGAAGATTGTGAAAATGTGGGTTTTTGTTGTTTTACAGTGCGTTTTTAAGTCTATAGTCAAGAATAGAAATGAACAGATTCAACATTTGTGCTTTTACTTTTTGGATATTTCATAGCAAAATGCAATGTAATCAATAGGAAACAAGGCCATATGACATCACGATGTTCTATCATCTGCAAACCCCCATTTCCCTCTCCCCCTGACCCCGCTCTGAAGCCGGATTGGACCGGTTTGATCTCACCTGTGCGGGGTGCGACCTGATCTGCAGCACCCTCTAAATATTTGAATGGGTCTCGACATATACACAGCTGAAGTGACACATAGGGCTGGTTAGACACGAACGGGCCACATTGTAATTCAGTGACCTTTTCAATTCAGTGCATTGATCTAGCGTGTGTTTAAAGGTGAACTTTGGAACTTTTCTAACGTGGGGTCCTGCTTGTCTCCATGAAGATAAGGTTCCAAAGTATGGCACTAAATGGCACAATTGGAGAGTTGAAAAACGTGCATTCATTGACTCAAATTATTCTTTCCATGGACATGTATCAGTTTAATTCCATACTATGAAACATTTGGTAAAAGCAAGAATGTCTCCATGAACAAAAGCAGCCGCAAGTTATGGAACATTCTAGGCAAAGCACATACATACAGGCTATAGTTGGCAGAGCCTCCAGCAAAGAAGTGTTAAACTGAAAATGAAAGAATGATTCAGATTTCACACAGACATAAACATCTTGTTTTGTTGTAAGTTCTTGTGAACCTTGGTTTTGTAAACAGACTAACTCACCAGTTGACTTTACACCACGTGAGCACAGATATAACAGTAATAACATGAGGTGGAGATAGTGAAAGTAACGGTTATGGCTCTGCTTTTTGCTGCATAACAACGAGCTGAGTCTGAGCCGCAAGGCAGCTGGCAGCTACAACTGCTGTTTACATCACACCGGGTATCACTTTTCTACGGGAAAGATTAATGATTCTATAGTAGAGTTGTCACACGTATTAGAAATCAGATACTAAAACTTCATCAAAACTCATACTCATTTAGGCAGCTATTTATACTCGGGAAAAATATAAATCATACAACGTGGAACATCTGACCTTTTCTGATCAGTTTATCTCAAGTTCTATCAGAACTACTGAAAGACTACATGATATAACTAAATACTAAAATGTTTAAAATTATACTGATTTTGAAACCCAAATGATAGTGTATTGTCTTTTCTTATCAATCAAACTTTATTTATAGAGTACTTTTCATACAAAAATGCAACACAAAGCGCTTTACAGTGATTAAAAACAATTTCACATTTTCAAATTTCCTGAGATTACTACCTGTGACATAATTATCTTTTTCTTCTACTTCTTCTACTAACTACTATGTGACATAACTGTCTTCTTTACAACTAACTTTCTGGAATCTGGAACCAACTGTCTAGTCTGGAACAAGTTTGAAACAACATGACAACACTATCGTATAAACCTTTTAACTAGTTATAGTAGTCATCCAAAACATACATAGAGCTTTTGCGAAGAAGTAGATGTATTGTTGATGTAAAATAATAAGAGAGATCCAAGGCACTCAGATATGCTTTTATTTCATCTCAAATGCCCATGTGAGTGCCTCGGATCTCCTTTTTTCATCTAGTAATACATAGCTTTTGTTGGTTTTCATTTATGCATCCTGCCTTAATTAATTTTACTAGCTCTGGTGCCTCTAAGGGTTTGATGATTTGGTGTTTAAAAAACAAAAAACAAAGTATTCTCAAGTTTTGGGATTACTTTTGCAATATATGTTTAAAGGTAGAGATGGAATGAGAGAACGAGGGGAGGCCAGAAGTGAGAAAGAAACTGAGTAGAAAGAGGGGAGTGGAGAGCAAGAGGAGAGGGTGAAGGGAATGGGTGAGAGAAAAAAAAGAGGAGAGAGAGAGAGAGATGGGAACTGGAAGAGGAGGAGGAGTGAGAGGGCACAGTGAGTTGTATGCTTTCCAAGTCTTTCCCAAGCATGACTCACCCACGCGTAGATCCGGTAACTCAATAAATTACAGTCGAAATAAACTGGCACTGGTACCAACAGTGGCAGAACATTCTTAACCCTAAATAACTAACAGTACGACACCGCATTACAACTCAGATCTGTGGAGAGTCGCCCCTGTTCACAGAAGGAATTATTGTATTTTTGAACAACAGAAACACCTGTAATGAAGAAAAGCTAAATGGATATGTTTAAAATCATAGTATGGAACATTCCGGGCTAGACAATACCATCTCCATGAGGGCAGCAGACCCTCCACCAGAGAAGTTGCGCAGTGCGTCTTTAAGTGTAACCCAGGCAGTGGGCTGTAGATTCAGTGTCATTGTTTATTAGGGCTGTGGTCGACTGAAGAAATTCTTGGTTCCCTTAAGTCATTCCCTGTGTCAGTCTTACACAGAAAAAAACAAAACAAAACTAGGAGTGGGACCAGTGAATAGTTTTCTCCTCTGTCTCTCTCCCCTCTTCTCTCGTTCTTCTCTCTCTTCTCTCCTGTTTCCTCTCTTCTCTGTTTCCTCTCCTTTCTTCTCTCCTGCCTCCTCTCTTCTCTCTCTTCTCTCCTGTCTCCTCTCTTCTCTCTTTCTCTCTTCTCCTCTTCTGGCTCCTCTCTCTTCTCTCCTGTCTCCTCTTTTCTCTCTCTTCTCTCCTGTCTCCTCTCTTCTCTCTCTTCTCTCCTGTCTCCTCTCTTCTCTTTTCTCTCTCTTCTCTCCTGTCTCCTCTCTTCTCTTTTCTCTCTCTCTTCTTCTGTCTCCTCTCTCCTCTCCTGTCCTCTCTGTTCTCTTTTCACTCTCTCCTCTCATGTCTCCTCTCTTCTCTCTGTCTGTCTTCTCTCCTATCTCCTCACTTCTCTTTTTTCGCTCTCTTCTCTAGTGTCTCTTTTCTTCTGTTTCCTTTCTGTCTTCTCTCCTGTTGCCTCTCTTCTCTCCTGTCTCCTCTCGTCTCTTTCTGTTCTCTTGTCTCCTCTCTTCTCTCCCTCTTCTCTCCTGTCTCTCTTCGCTCTCATCTCTCCTGTCTCCTCTCTCTTCTCTCTCTCATCTCGCCCCTCTCTCTCCTCTCTCCTTCTCTCTCTCTTATCTCTTCTTTCACTCTCTCTCCTCTACTTTCTCTCTCGTTCTCCCCCTCTTCTTCTCTTCTCTTTCTTTCACTCTCCCTCTCTCCTTTTCTCTCTTCTCTCTTTCTCCTCTTTTTCTCACCTGTCTTTCTCTGTCTCTCCCTCTCCACCCCTCTCTCTTTCCTCCCTCTCTCTCTTCTCTTCTCTGCTTCTCACCTCTGATTTAGCAGCTGTTTTTCTGCCCACTCTTGGAACTGCATATTTTTTTCCGTTAAGACACAACAAACTCATAAATATACCATTCTACCATCATTAACACACCTTACTGCTCCATTTATAGTATAGTTTTGCTCTTTTAGATATAATATTTTTATTTTGGGGTCTGCACGCTTTAATGGACACACAGATAAACAGTGAAATTCAAACTGATGAAGCTATAATCGGAATCAATAATAATTTAAAGGTGTCGAAGGAATACAACATTGTGTAGAAGTGTTATAAAAGAGTTATTTTATAAGAACGGGAATCTAAAAATGTTTGTCTGACCGCATTTTGAGTCATTTTCAGACCTTGATTGAAAGTCTGCACTGTAAAATTGAGTTAAATTTGAGGAATTTTCTTTTTAAAGACACTGAATTTTTACAGATGGACACAACAGATAAACAGTGAAATTCAAACCGATGAAGCTATAATGGGAATCAATAATAATTTAAAGGTTTCAAAGCTCTTTACTTTCAAGCTGCTTTGGAACATTATGGAACATTATGTAGAAGTGTTATAAAATTGTTATTTTTTATAAGAGCAGGAATCTAAAAATGTTTGTCTAACCACATTTTGAGTTATTTTCAGAGCTTGATTGAAAGTCTGCACCGTAAAATTGAGCTAAAGTTGAAGAATTTTCCTTTAAACGCACTTCACCTGAATTTTTATGGTTTGGAAACATGAAAAACAACATTCAGAAGTCCAAAGTTATCCCTCACTTACCTTACGAATTCAGGGCATCCTAATTATTCAGAGTTTATAAGCAACTTCAGAGGCCAGAAAAGTTTTCCAATCACTGTAAAGAAGAACTAGCAGGCTAACAGTGCACTTCCTGGTTAACATACAACGCATTATAAAAAGACTTAATCTGGCCAAGAGCTGCTTTATAATAATCTGTGTTTTTGAAGGACAAATTTGACTTTATCACCATGAAAAACTATCGGTACAGCCTCTTTTTTTAATCCGAAATTCATCATCTTAAACATAGAATTCAGTTTTTGACCGTAAAATTACCCATAATGCATTTTTTCATAATTGCATGCTGCCAAACGCACACCTCTTCTGATTATAGTTTGAGGAGAAATATTTAGAGTGTATATGTATG